CTCATAGTGCAGAAGGTCTGAAGATCAGGGAGGGAGAAAATAATGTTTAGAAAACAAGCAGATTGCAGCTAAAAAGAGGCAGCCACAGGTGTTGTGATGATGTAGTCATAGGCACTGTATCTTAATGTCTTCACACTCATATTCACAATATACACAAGCATGACTGCTTGCAAAGAGCTCTTCTGAGCACAACAAGTGCAAATTATCTTTAAAGTTGTGTACCACTTTTTTCCAAAATTAAAGTACAGTTTTGTTCCTCCTATGAAGTTATCATATTGAAGTTGCATTTTATTTAATATCCCAAATAGAGCAACCATCATTTAATAAGTATAATACAACATATTAAGACAGAGGCTAACATTATTTGATTCCACCTGTTATTATTATTTGCTCAGCTGCTTGACATCTTAAATTCCCAGGCTTATTACATCCTAAGGTGTATTGTTTAGTAACTACAAGGAAAGCACTGCAAACTGAGTGATTATTTGCATATATTTGCTGTATTTAACACGTTAAAAAAAAATAAAAGTTAAAATACTTTTTTTTTCAAGTTTTTTTTCTAGGTCATTTGGATCATTGCTATTGGTTTATTTATTATGAATTTTTTTAAAACAATGTAAAGGGCAGCTGGCATTTTAAAATTCATTTTTTTGTTTTATTCAGAATGCAATGTATGTGTACATTCTTTTATATATGCATACAGGTATATAAATATGGCAGTCCAAATTGCCATTGCCACCATAACAGAGCTGCATTCTATGGAGCTTTATATGTATTCTCAGTGCATCCTCATTGCTCAGACTCAAAATCCATTTGTCATGCAAATCCTCTGCAAATATCCTTCTAAATCCACCTGGAATTTATCTATACTTTCATTCAAAGAAAAAAATCCTTTAGGCAAATTGAAAAGAAACTAGAAATTGTTTTAAATTCATATCACATGTTTCCTTTTTCTCAATGTGATCTAATACTTACTCTTAGAAATGTGAAGTGCTAAAAAGATAAACATGAGAACATAGAAAAGAATAAAAACAATGATGAAGGTGCTTGAGGGAAAGACTAAAATTAATCTCCTGTTGTGTTCCTTGAGGAGGAATATTGTTTATGACTAGAGAGAGAGGAAGACAGAGAGTGGGAGAGGGAGGGAGGGAGAGAGAGAGAGAGAGAGAGAGAGAGAGAGAGAGAGAGAGAGAGAGAGAGTGAGTATCTGATTTTGTGTGTATTGGAGGAACAGCGTGGGAGAAAGTTGCTACCTTAACGGCCCTGAAATTTCAAAAGATGATGGAAAAAACAGTCTGGCTGTTGATTGGGCAGTTCCATGATGAGTGCAGCTGAGACATTCACTATTCATGACATAAATATCTTCAGAACTGAAGAACAGCAACGTATTATATGGAGAACTTTATACTGTCCTTGGCAAAGTTTTTGTCCAAATTGTGTAACATGCTCAAATTCAGCTATTTTTTCAATTTTCAACAGTTTATGAAATAAACTCTTTCTGAAAAAGGAAATGCGCCATAGAAATAGAGGTAACTGGAAAGAAGTCCAGCTTGTAAAACCATTTTGGATAGATGTGTGCTGAAGACATTGGGCCTCATTCACCAATATCTTCAGATGTTTTTTTTAACATCCTAAAAAAAGTCTACACCAGATTCATAATGTGTTCTTAACCTTCAAAATTGTTTGCACCTTTGTGTTCTTCAGGGGGCATAAACTCTGTTTGACCTACAAACAAGAAAACACTGGCAAATGTCAGAATCTTTGTGAAAACTGTGAAAGCGAGTTTTAAGAATACCCTTAAGAACAGTTGGTGAATGAGGCCCATTGTTCATGTTATAGTTTGTGATGTTCCTGAATGCACTTCAAGATACTGGTTCCTTAATGGATCCTGTTTTGGATACATTGTTCTAGGAAAAAAAGATTTAATTGTTAAAGAAATTTTACATTATTTACATTATATACATACATTTCATATTATTTTTTGTTGTGTCATATTCCATAGCACAGCATTGCATCCCTCAGTCTCATCGATTTGATAGAATTTATGAATTTGTATCTATTTTGTGTTTTTGATCATCAGCGTTTTCTCACTACAATACAATCATACCTTTGGAAATCCACTGATGTACCTCTGATGTAGAGGCTCATAAATACATGTGTGATATTCAGCTTTCTAACAGTAATATTAGCTATCTGGATTCCTTCTGCATTAACCAGCTCGCAAAAAAAAGTCTAGAAATCCCATGAAAATGTCATCATCAGTGACATAGAGAAGAAGAGCAGGCTGATGAGGAAACAGATGCATCTTCATGGTTTCAGGTGAGGTACCTAATAGGTAGTAGGGCTGTTGTGTCCCTAGCAATGTTTAGACAAACCTATGCCCTTGTTGTGATTGTTAAATTTTTCATTTTGGCCAGAGTGCTTCTTTAAAGACCATCAATTGAAAGGTTCTTCAACGAGCCCACAATTTCTTCTGCAACATTGCTTCATTCACCCTTTCTACATGGAGAAGAGTGTGGAGAAATCATTTGAAAATTGCATTTAAGCTTCAAATTAAATTATAATTAAAATCCATTTAGACTCCAAAATAAGTGCAAAGCTATTGCAGAACTCATTCTTTTAAGAAAGTCCCTAAATCCCATTACTGACATACAGTGACATGAAAATTTATTTGGACATTTGTGCAATACTTGTATTGGGTTCATTAATTTAGGAAACAAAATGTCAAATCAAGAGATGCTTATATTAAACAGACCATTCCAAGACTGTAACCTGGTATTCTTTCAAAGTTTCTTTGTAGTCTTCTGCCGATTTGTGTTCCAAATGGCTTTGTACAGTTCATGGAACCCATCAATGAATGCATGCTCACCAACCATGTTTATTAGAAAAACAGCCTCAGACTTTGATGTTCTCAATTTTCTAGTACTCTTACTGCAGTCTGGTTGGAATTCTTCTCCAGGCTTTCTCCATACAAAGAATCTACCATCAGTTTGCTGTTTTGCTAAAACATGTTTTTTTTTTTCTTGGGAAACAATTAACATATTTATCATTTTTATGATTCATACTTACAAAAATCCTTATTTATTAAGTAATATAAAGAACTTCTGATAGTTAAATAGTAAAAGTGTCCAAATACTTTTTGGGGCCACTGTATGTTAATGCACAGCATATAAATCGAACACAGCAGGTACAGCTCCAAAAAGAAACTTTCTTCCATAAAGAAAAATAGACAAATATGGAAAGGAATGTGAAATTTTATTTACATGCAGTTCAGATGAATTTTCAGTGTTTTGTATTTCATATAGGGATCAGGATCACTTTTATTAGTGCTGTGTAGGTGGAGTTTGCCTTGGCATTTATGATACTGCTCATCAAAAACACAGTACAACACCCAACATAAACTGTGGATGGCTTTTCATAAAATTTACAATCTACAGAAATACAATATACAATGAAGTACAGTAGTACAGTAAAGAATATTATTTAGAAAGGAACCTTTACACCATATACATCCTCTCACACCTCTGTGCAATTCTGTTTTTTCCTTTTCACACATTTAGACTCAATTTTAGTAATATTATTTTAATCTCAATCAACCAGACAAAGTGAAAACAAAGTGTAAAATAATCTTTGGGGTGGCAACCTGTCTTACTTAAAGATTCACTGTACATGAGCATATATAAGGCACGTTTTCCTAAAATGTGAAAATGCTTTCAGGCGTCCATGAAGGTTCTGAACATTTAGATATTTTCAAACACTGTTTAAGCTACAGATAATAATACAAATAAATATACACATGTAAATTGCATGTAAATCATGACTGGTTTTATGAATATGACATATTGTTAATGCATTGAATGTTTATGTTTCTCATTTACATCCTTATTCCTCTGAACCATAAAACCAAAGCTACACTCTCTGTCCACCTCTCTCTAATTGACTGCATACTAATGCACCTCCCAAAGGACAGAGCGTTCACATTTGTGCCCATTCTGTGTCAGTATTCCTCCATCAGAGGTGCGGCTGTAGGTTAACGATGTTAAATAGACCATTTTATTTTTCTTCACAGATGTTTTATCGAGGAATTTCACTGTCAATCAATACAAATACGAGGCTGCTTTTCCTCGCGCTCCAAATCACGACTTACATGCAGTCACGATACAGCCAACTGGGTTGATACAGCAGACCAAACCCAACGTACCTGGGGCTTTTCCCGTTTCAGAACCATGGAGAGCGCCATCCTGCTCCGTTCTCCCTTCAGACACGGAGAAAATCTCATTAATCTCAGTTTAATCACTCACTTACGAACTCCACACGGTTCTCTGTACTCAAACATGCCATTTAATCTGGAGAAAAATAAGAAGTAATGATGTGTTTGGCTGAAAGACGATCCCCTGCGCCCCCTTTGTCTTTCTCCACTTTGCTCGGCTGCCTGATGCCTGTTGAACGCTTCAGTTCCAGGCGAAATCAGCTGCACCGTTTTCAACACGTGCCAATCTCTCTCTCTCTCTCTCTCTCTCTCTCTCTCTCTCTCTCTCTCTCTCTCTCTCTCTCTCGTAAACCGATCTCATTTCATTGTCATTGAGAGAATTCGTAGTGGATAGGGCGACCGCGTTGTTGGATTGGTTGTCATTTCTGATGGTAAGGCTGACTGTTCTCCCGCGCGCGTCTCACAGACAGGGCGCTGGTGGCCTTTTATTGGTCCTTTATTTACTCTCTCTATGAAACGGGCTTTGGCTCGACAGGCGCGCGCGCCGCGGACGGTAAACAAAAGGTGATCCTGAACACCGTCGCCTGAACGTCACGTCACGTTTCGTCTCCGATTGGGCGAGAGCAGCTCGGCGGCGTGGCGGGAAACGGTCGCGCGCGCGCCGTGGGCGGGAAAGAGCACCGAGCGCCCATAAAGCCCCGCGTGCGCCCCGCACCGTCTACTGAGAGAGAGAGAGAAAGGAGGAGGAGGACGCGATTTAAAAAAAAATAAGAGGGGGGAAAGGGAGGGGGGGAGAGACGCGACAAGAGCCTCTCGGTTTTTCACTCCGCAGCGAGGCGGGAGAGGCAGGCGCGCGCGCCTCTCTCTCTCCCTCTCTCTTTCTCTCTCTCTCTCTCTCTCTCCCTCTCGCCTACTGTCTCCGGTGGACCCCCAGTCCTCCGGGCCGGGCCGGGCTGGGCCGGGCCGGGCCATCATCTCGCGCGCATGGACGACCACTTCAACCTGATCGACTCGCCGTCGGCGCGGCGGCGGGGAAGCGACGGAGACAGCCGCGGCTCAGATGTGGACGGGGGCGGCCCGGCCGCGGCTACGGTGACGGTGGCGGTGGGTGAGCTGTTGGAGGAAACGGGCGCGCTGCCGGCGCACGTGTCGCTCGAGCGCTACGAGCCCGAACCGGGCTGCCGCGAGCGCGTGGTCATCAACATCTCGGGCCTGCGCTTCGAGACGCAGCTCAAGACGTTCAGCCAGTTCCCAGACACGCTGCTTGGCGACCCGCGCAAAAGGATGCGCTACTTCGACCCGTTGCGCAACGAGTACTTCTTCGACCGCAACCGACCGAGCTTTGACGCCATCCTCTACTACTACCAGTCGGGCGGGCGCATCCGCAGGCCCGTGAACGTGCCCATAGACGTCTTCTCCGAGGAAATTCGCTTCTACCAGCTGGGCGAGGAGGCTATGGAAAAGTTCCGCGAGGACGAGGGCTTCATCAAAGAGGAGGAGCGCCCGCTGCCCAGCCGTGAGTTCCAGCGACAGGTGTGGCTCCTCTTCGAGTACCCGGAGAGCTCGGGCCCAGCGCGCGGCATCGCTATCGTCTCCGTGCTGGTCATCCTCATCTCCATCGTCATCTTCTGCCTGGAGACGCTGCCCGAGTTCCGCGACGACCGCGAGGCAGCGGCGGCCGCTGCTGCGGCGGCGGCAGCGGTGCCACTGGGCAACGGCACGGCGCCGTATGGCCCGGGTTCCTTCACCGACCCCTTCTTCGTGATCGAGACGCTGTGCATCGTGTGGTTCTCCTTCGAGCTGCTCGTGCGCTTCTTCGCGTGCCCAAGCAAGGCCACGTTCTCCAAGAACATCATGAACATCATAGACATCGTGGCCATCATCCCGTACTTCATCACGCTGGGCACGGAGCTCGCCGAGCGCCAGGGCAACGGACAGCAGGCCATGTCGTTGGCCATCCTGCGCGTCATCCGCCTCGTGCGCGTCTTCCGCATCTTCAAGCTCTCGCGCCATTCCAAGGGCTTGCAGATCCTCGGCCAGACGCTCAAGGCCAGCATGCGCGAGCTGGGCCTCCTCATCTTCTTTCTTTTCATCGGGGTCATCCTCTTCTCCAGTGCCGTGTACTTCGCTGAGGCGGACGACCCGGCCTCGAGCTTTGGCAGCATCCCGGACGCCTTCTGGTGGGCCGTGGTCACCATGACTACGGTGGGCTACGGGGACATGCACCCGGTCACCATCGGTGGCAAGATCGTGGGCTCTCTGTGCGCCATCGCCGGCGTGCTCACCATCGCTCTGCCCGTGCCCGTCATCGTGTCCAACTTCAACTACTTCTACCACCGCGAGACGGACGGCGAGGAGCACGCGCAGTGCCTGCACGCGGGCAGCCGCGAGCGCGTGGACTCGGCGCAGGGCGAGCTGCTGGAGCGCGCGCGCAGCGCCTCGTCGCTCGGCAAGCCGGAGTACGTGGCCATCGAGGAAGCGCTGCACGGCGCCTTCAGACAGCCCAGCTACCCCAACCAGAACAGCCAGAACTGCGTGAGCGTCAAGAAGATTTTCACCGACGTGTAGCTGAGGCACAAAAGCGCAGCGCGCGCGAGCGTGCGTGTGTGCCACTGAGTGAGCTTTATCTTCACGCACAGAGGATGCGCGCAAAACCCCCGAAAACAGACCCAGGACGGCAGACTAAAGCTGCTGGTGCGCAGCCCGTTCAGCCTTTGGGATTGTTTTACCCCGAAGCGCTTTAACAGGGCAGGCGCGGGGACTGTGGAATAAAACGCGGACTAACCATGTCGTGATCGTCGCTGTGCGTTTTTGCTCTCAATGTTTATCTGTGCTCGTCATAACGCGTTCAGTGTTCGCGGTGTGTCCCGTTTCGTGGCGAAGCTGAATGGCCCGCTGGAAGGTCTGTTCACGCGGGACACGAACTGCTCTCGGAGGTCGTGTGTTAGAATGTCACCATGTATTTTGTTCAGTATATCCAAGTGCAGATTCTATTTTAACACAATGAAAGTCTGTGGAAAAAAACATTAAAATGTTAACAATAGTCTGATATATATCTCTATATATACATACATATAGTTTACTGTATGTCTTTATTAAGCATATTGCCTTTACATATACCAAATGAAATTGTGATATAACCGAAAGAAAGAATAGATTGTTTTCGCTTAGAAATAATCTTTAATTTTGTAGGGGGGTCTTCTTCCCCTCGTAGAGAGAGAGAGAGAGAGAGCGAGAGAGAGAGAGAGAGAGCGAAAGAGAGAGAGAGAGAGAGAGAGAGAGAGAGAGAGAGAGAGAGAGAGAGAGAGAGATGCTGAGGGAGGCGGCGTAAAAAAAGAAAGAAAAACAGACACGCTGGACTCATCTCGTCTCTGGCATGGGAAACAGAAACAAGATCAGCGAGCGAGGATGCGCCTCCCAGTCGAAGCCCCTGAGTCCGCCTCGTGATGCAGTCTCCATAGCGACTACAGTTTCCTGGGTAACCCCAGTTAACGTTGCCATGGCATCCTTCGCCGTTGCTACAGCAACGCTCCAGATGGTTCACAAAGCTTGACTGGCAAAACAGAGCGAGAGACAGAGCTGGTTATTGTGCAAATGATTTAATCTGATGAATTGCATTCTTTTTACTAATTTTTCTAAATAAAAGTCATAAAGCATAAGGCAATACTGAAGCAGAAAAATTGGCCTACATACATACAGTACAATCTGTTTTGTACTACTATTGGCATGCTTATGTGATTCATTTGAAGAATATTTTACACGTTGGTACACTGACCATTCGTCCAGTCTGTTTAAGTTAAAATGTCAACATCTTGGACAACATAAATACCCCATTTATAGAAAAATACAAGCTTACAAATTAGGTCTTACTACCAAATTCTGCTGTTATTGTGCCACATCAGACTTAGGAGACTGATGCCAGGTCCAGTAATGCTGCTGTATCTTGCAAAGGTCTATTTCCTGTAGCTGTCAGTTTGAAGAAGATAGGCACTGCATGACTGTGCAAGCTGATTACACTGTCTCGCACGCTGCCTCCCCCACTGACCAGTGTTAAAGGGCACTCAGTGGACCGCCACACTGCCCAGCAGCGTCCAAACTGTCATTCAGAGCATTGTGAACCATTCATGGAAGTGTGTATGTGTATAAATGTGATTATGTGTTTGCATGGCTGTGCATTTATGTAATCATATGCATAAAAAAACAACATTTTATTTTAGACATTTCATTTTAGTTCTTGAATCACTTTCACTAATTTTAGAAGACAGATTGTCACTTTTATTAGACGTGTCACATGAGTAGCCTGCAGCATGCAATCTGTTTAGTTTGCATTGGATTGAAGTAAGGGAGTGAAGTGAAAGCATTGTCTTATTTCTTTATTCCATTTAATTTGAGTTTTGTTTATTCTGTCTGAATGTAGTACCCAAAATATGCTCAGTGCTGCCATCCAGTGATGTGCTTAGGGCCATGCAAGGGAAAAAGAATATGTTCTATTGACAAAAAGCTTTAAAACACTGAATGAGTTGTTACTGAAATCAGCTCTATGCATGCCAGAAATTGGCATAAAAAGGTTTGTTGTTCTATATTCAATTTTGTATTTGATACATCCTCAAATGTCTTAGTAAATGTAATTGTTAATCTCAGAAATCATATAAAACCTCAGACCTTAGAGTTTTATAGTAGCATATTTATGAATAGCTATGCATTATTTTATTGCATTGCAGTCCTGTAACAAAATAACTGCATACTTCACAGTAATGATTACCACGTTTGCCTTTTGAATGTTCTGATTCCCTTTTTTGAGTGAGATACAGTGGTCCTGGATGAGCAGGAGAGCATTAGCATGCATTTGGCTCCTGCACTGACAGTCGCAGGCCCCAGCTGCTGCATGACGTTTCATGGCAGAGAGCTAAGATGTGTGAGGTGTGAAGTGAGCTGTCTGACGTCTCTGGAAATTCAAGCTGTCAGCTGATAATGTGTGATATAAGCTGCTGCTTCCATGCTGCCTTCAAGGCCCTTGGACTCATGAGCCCCTTTTCGCTCATAATCGAAGAAGGCTTTGCTTTTCTTTGCTTTGATAACAACAGTGAACACTGAATTTTTCTGTATTTGTCTTTCTTTTTACACCAGGAAGGAAGGAACTCATGGAGGTTTCTGCTGATGGGCGTCAATATCACACAATCAGCTGAGCTGTGGCCCTATTCCAAACAGTGAAAGCAACACAGTTTTAAAGGTAATGGATTTGAATTGTATTTATGTAATTAGCAATATGTCATTAAACGTTTTGTCATTTTAAATTTGTAAACAAACATATCAGAGCTGTCTTAACCCCTTAAAATCCCAGACTTATTGCATACTAAGGATAATTATTCAGTAACTACAGGGACTTCAACGCAAACTAGTTGAGTGCGTAATAAAACTTCTGGCCGGCCGGTTGGCCCTGGCCATATAAGGCTTAACAGAAAACTTCTTATTTCCAAAATGTCAATTTTATTGAAGAAGGAAAAAAAAATATAACTTTAATGTACATTAATGTAGCAAGATTTTATTAGCAAATGAAAGTTTTAATTACTGGTTTAACTTTGGGCCATTTCTGTTGGTCAGTTCATAATGAAATGCTTACACAGTGTAGTGTAAAGGGCAACTGGTGGCTTCAAGGGGTGCAAAAGTTTCAACGATTCATTTTGTTTTAAGATGTTTTGTGACAATGTTTAAAGGCAATCATGAACTGTTCTCTTAGATGGCAATTAAATCTACATAATCATTCTCATGCTAACACTAAATGTAACATCCAAACTGTTTATTTACACTGAAAAAATAGAATTTATTTAATTTAAAAGTGCAAATAATTTCAACATGGACAAACTCTTTTACACTGACACAGTTTTGTCTTTTACTTTACTTTTGGCAATGACTGAGCCGATCTGAAATATTACATTTATGTGAAAATGATATACACATTTGAACCAAGTACATTTAAAGCACTTTTTTTAGTGTATGACAATTTTCTCAGTGCTGGCTAAACCCAAATGCAAGAATAGATGTTGTTAATAGCCATAGAAATAGGTCAAACCTTCCACCTGAAGCAAATTGATGTTACTAACCCAGTATTCCACATGACCTGTTTGTGTGTGTGTCTGTGTCTGTGTGTGTGTGTGTGTAAGAGAGAGAGAGAGAGAGAGAGACCGTGTATTATCACATGATCCATCTGAGCGCTCCCCCTCCGGCTGAAGATACACCTATTATAAAGCCTCTCACACAGCATAGCTGGTTTAATGGCTAATTAGGCACTGAAATAATTCAAAGATATGACCGTACAATAAATATCTGTTTATTATATTTATTATTATTATTATGATTATTATTATTATTTTTATTTCTTCCATAGTCACTGAATTCTAGTTGCTTCTATACGCTGTTACGTTTACAGCTGAAAATAGGGATGAAACCACAGCTGATGCTTATAGGATAAGCCATAAGTCACTTTAATTTCAGATTTTGTCAACGGAAAGTACATTGTTTCACAGAAGAAATGCACTCTTAGCAGCCCCTAATGGATCTACTTGGGAATGAGTTTGTATCTCATCTGACAGATGTTACAAAAGATGCCATTTCACAAGATCTGAAAGGGCTGTGATTACTAGAAAAGAGCTGTCTTATGTACAGCACTGTGTGGAAATCAGAGATCAACCTTCATTCTTTTAATTTCTGCAGCCGTTTAGTACAGGTTATTTAATTTCAGGAGATATTGCTGAGAGGATCATATATAAGATAATCCATGTGCATAAGGAAGAGAAAAACAAGTGAAAAAACAGGGGTTTCCAAAACTTAAAAATATGCATAAAAATATGCATAGAAAACAGAGCACCTAAAAACTGAGCAAAAGCTGATAGACTACCAAAACTGTCCCCATCAGATAAACTGCACTTAAAGCTTTCATCTCTGAAAGAGATGAGAAAAGCAAGCTCTTGCTTCAGATCAGAAAAAATCCATAGGTATTTCTGTCCATATTTCCACTGGGAGAAGACAACTCTATCTGAAAGGATGTGTAGGATCTGTAGCTGTCAAAAAGATGTTACTGGGAAAAGGAGACAGACAAGAAAGAAGCTGCTGGTGTTCTCAGAATGATGGACTGACCACCCCAACATCACTGAATGTGTTTGGGATAACTTGGATCTTGACCAGCAGAAAATACAACCAACCTCTAAGACTGAACTTTGGAGATGTGGAAAATGTCCATGCAGATTTATGTATTTATTTATTTTTAAACTAAAAGCAACTCTCTCTAAAAGAATGGAAGCTGTAATAAAGCCAAACAGTGGATACACTAAGTATGGAAAAAAATGATAATATGTCATTTTCTCTCTGTGTTTTCTGCTTTTTTCCTCATGCTGAAATATGAATAACTTGCACCTAATGGCTGTTTTGACTGGAATTGAGATAAATAATGGGTGGTCTCTGACTTTTGCACAGTTCTGTGTAAGTCTTTTGTGTAATTTGTAATGCACCAGCTAGTGTGAGAGAGGTAGAAATAGTAAAGTGGGCCAGCTTTGTTCCTGTCAGCATAGAAACTATGTGTGAATTCGAGGCATACAAGCTCATATTTTAACAGCTAATTATTGGGGCAATAAAGTTTTTGTTTGTGTTTAACCCTGGAGCTGAAGGGAACTGGAGTGCATCACACTGTTTTAGCTTTAATAATTTTCCTTTGATCTGGAAACGTTCTTGCAGTGCTGGGTTACCACAGATATCCTGGTATTCAAGGACATGCATGTGTGTGTTTATCTTTCCTAGTGTACTTGTGTGTTAAGTTAGTTTGTATGCATGTGTGGGGGCGTTTATGTGTGTATCTGTTCATGTATGTGTGTGTGTGTGTGTGTGTGTGTGTGTGTGTGTGTGTGTGTGCTCACATCTGTTTGTGCCCTCGTGTGTGTTCCACCACTAGGGGCCTCAGAGTGTTGATAGACTCCAGTAGTCATTTCACACTCACTCTGGGTGTTATGGCACTGGAGGTGCTGTATCTGCTTTAGTTCATTAATTAAACAGAGACTGTATGACGAGAGAGAGGGAGAGAGAGAGAAGGCGAGAGATATTTTGGAGAAAGAGGCATGGAAGAGAACTGCCATGAGGTTGTGTCCCAAACTGCTGATCTGGCAGTCATACGACTGAGTGGAACTTTTATACAGAACTTGAAAGTAGTTAAAGGGCCCATATCCTGCTTTTTTGTATTTTAGTTTTTTTCTCTGAAGTTCACTTATGTTGCTTTTGTAGGTTTATGCACCAAAAACTGTTGTGATTCATTTTTACATGATACATTACATTTTTTTTTTAATTTTTCAACCTTATCCCTTGTAATTAAGACTTTAAGACTGATATATGTAAATGAGGTCTGTTATGATTGACTACCCTTTATTGTGCCTCATTCAGAAAGCAGTCCAGGCTGAAATACTCTTTATAACATCAGTATAAATTGCTGTAGGCTGAATAGGCATATACATGTAAATGCGTAAATGTGTAATATCATAAAAACAATGAATTCAGAACTGGGTGGTGAATGGTATTGAATGAATCTGTAACAGTGTTTACATAAAACGTTTATTTTATAAGGAAATTAGGAAAATTAGGTTTTCCATGATAGGGATCCTTTAAACACTCTTTAAACATCACCTCCAAACCACTCCAAAGTACTGGATATTTACTCTGATTAACATTTGCTAGTTTAACTAAATTACACAGGTTTAAGACATTAACAGTAAGTGTGGGGTATGATAACCAAAGTGCTGTGTAATTATTTTGTGTAAGATTTTAGCAAGACAATCTAAGAATCATTGCTCTCTTTTAAAGCCAAGATTCAGGTTCCTTCCTAGGCAACCGACAGATATGTACTATATAAGACTCTCTGTGTTTTGCTTGCTTATAATCTTTTTTATTCCATATAACTACCTGGTGCTTTTTGCCCAACATAATAAACTGGGTATGAATGTGATACTGTGTAATTAAGTTAGACTGCCACGGAACTTACCATCATATTACCCATAGCAATTACCCTGGTACTTTGGAGTTTGGGTGCTTATAGATGAATCTGCTTAATACCCACAACTTAAGTGTTGGCAAATTACATAATTGCATATTTAATTACACAGTTAATTGTGTATGTGAATCGTGAATATGATGATGACTGAAAGATTAGAATTTCAATGAGCTAAGAAAGAAATAATGAATATAAAATGACACCAGTCTTTTTGTTTTAGCAGCAAAAACTGCAAAGAGTTAAAAATATAATCAAATATATTTCTTAATATGCAATGTAATAGTAATCAAATAGGATGGAATAACATGTGACCAAGGTCCCTGAGACCTTAATGTCATTATTGCTGTCATATAATAATGATTACTACCGTAATCTCCTCTGTGCATGTTGTAGCCAATCTTTGCTACCTGGCTTTTCTTGCTCCAGAACAGTCATGCACTGGCTTTTCAAGTAGTACCTTTATGGAGTTGGGAAAAGCCAAGAAGCTGAGAACATAGAAAAGAAACGCCAGCTTAGAAATCTATTCAAACAGAACTACAATCTGTGAAACAAAATGAATGTTTTGCTAATTAAATGACATCTAAATGTTTGTGTTCCATAGCTTTGTTTGTTTTTTCTTATTTCACCTGTTCTGTTTTAACTGCAGTCAGGCTAGCACATATGTCCTGTGACATTACTGCTACTATCGATCATGCAGCAGGGGTGAAAAGCTCAACACACTCAGAGGAGAATGCTAAGCTCTTGATTCTGCCATTTGGTTATATGCTTCACTGACCAATATGCAAACTTTCCCTGGCAGCGAAAATGCCATGCTGCCAACTGTGTCCCTAACAAAGTTCCAGATGTCACAATTCAACTACTCGAAATGTGTTTTGTTTCTGCAGATCTTTCAGATAGATCCACGCCGTGCCTAGGACTGTTCATCAACCATTCCACTGAAGAGGAGGCTTTCAAAGCACAGGAACAAGCTCATATGAGGACAGAGAGATGAAGTCCACATCGCTCTGTATTGTCCTCTCTGCCAGATCAACATTCTAGAAGTGGCCTTTTTCTTGGGATATACTGCCAGGCCGAATCTAGATTACCAGTCAGAAGATATCTGTGTACTATTCAAGATAGCAGCTGTGAACCTTTGAAATAGTTGGACAGAAGCTGACCATCTTTGCCGTAACTGTCCACTGCTGTAGGACATATATACTGAGGATTTTGATGTCTCCTTCATGTATTCAGAGTTTGTGATGTTATCAAACCAGATGTCTGCGTATGAATTTGTCATCATTATTAAGACACTGCCTACTTATTGACTATATAATTCACTGCCTATTTATTGACTATATTAGACATTCCAATCACTGAATAATTGAAAATATTAAACTTTATGATGCGCTGCACTAATAAAAGAAATGGGTTGTCTGAGCAACGCAAAGAGAAAAAACATCCTGTTTTGTGGTCTCTCTCTTTCTCTCTTTCTCTCCTCTACTTTGACTGTGAGAAAATCAGCCATTACGGTATTGAGCACATTAAGATTGGATCTATACCTCTGGAGCTGCCAAAGCAGGCTTCTCAGCATCAAGGTAGGTATCACTCTATAAAAAGATCCCCTGAGTTTTCACTAAGGTCATTAGGAACCTCATTAATCAGTGTTTTATTTACCTTTTAACGAAAGTCCTTACAGGAAGGTCTGTCCACTCAGCGGCAAACTTAGCAGCACCCCCAGGCAGTTATTTCCAGTCATACAAGGCCTGTGCTCGCTTGTAAAAGATGTCTTAAGTGTATTTTGGCCTAAAGTTTTCCATTTCATCTTAAGGGAGCAGCATAAAATCTTTTTTAAACTCATAATATATTCATAATTCATTTGTACATTTCCATTTTCCAACCTTTTTTATCTCTTAGTCTGATATATGTAAATGGTCTCTGTTATGATTGGCTGCCCTATATTATGCCATATTCCAAAAACAGTCCAGGCTGAAACATTCCTTATAACGTCAGTGTGAATGGGCAGAGCTAAACTGCTGTGGGCTTAACAGGTGAAAGTAAAGTGACATCACAGAAACAGTAAATTCAAAATAGGCTGTTTTTGCAGCTTAGTTTCTATATATGGCCTGTGTGCACTGTGGAGTGAACAGTGTGCTTTAATTTTTTTTTAAATACAACATCAAACTCTTTTAATTCAGAAAAGTGAGGAAAATTCAGTTTTTCAAGATATGGGCCCTTCAAGTGGGAAGTGAAAAAAATCCATAATTGTAAATTGAAGTTTCAGCAATTCAGGGAGCTTTCAGCACTTAAGAGAGCTTTTCCTGCTTACCCCTTTGCCAACTAGGCAATTGGGTCTTTTTACTGAAAGGCAGGACTTCCTGTAATACAGCTGCCATGTTTAGTGTTACAAGATATTCCATTCATATTACAACCAGCAATCTGTCTCCTCCTCCTGTTATTAGCTAAATCAGTCCAAACTACATTGCATTACTTTACAGGTACAGTTTTGTATGTCATATAGTCTCATAGTCAGCTTAGGTCCTGGAGGAAGGGTGTCCAGCACAGTTTGGTAATGCCCCTACTCAAACACACTCACAAAACCTGGATGGGTTGAATTAGGGAAATCATGAAACTAGGGGTGTTTGTAGACTGTTGTTGTAGTTAAACAGCCTCTTATTTGGGTTAATCTGAGGGGGGTTTAACCTCTTCCCTTGTCTGTCATAGGAACACAACAGTCCATCCATCTTTTTGGACTGAATACTCTAAGCAGGAAAAGCTGTCCCGTGTATTTGAAAATGAAATATAATATTGTTGATACAGTAATTTTAATTAGACTACATGTAGGCTGCAAGTGGTTAGCCTTAAGATAAGCATTGACGTTCTGTTAAAAATAGGTAACACTTGTCAGACACACAGTCGTATGTAAAAGTTCAAACGCCCGCAAACAAATTACGTCTTGTTGATTTTCTAAGTGAAAATAAACAAACACACTCTTTACAGGGAACAAATTTAAATATTAATTTTTCCTGCACATTTTAGTGCACAAATTTAATTTATTTGCAGAGCTTAATGTATTAAAAACATACAAAACAAAAATATATTTAAAATATGTATTTTATCTCTGCTATATAAAAAAATGTACTATAACTTTTGCAGAGGACATATTTATGTCTTATTTTATCCATTACACTCTTAGAAAAAAAAGGTTCGAAACTGTCACTGGGGCGGTACCCCTTTTGTCACTGGGGTGGTACCCTCAAGGGTACATTTCAGTACCTTTAGTCAGGAAACATGATTGTACTATAATCCATTAAAATTATATTTTCTAAGTTGTATTGACTCCACACACCCCGTCTCCTCTCCAGGCTTGACTTTCCGCCTGTGATTATAGTGGGGCAAGTGACTCAGTAAATTGGTTCTAATGATGTCCCTGCATGAAATTATGCTAGACACTGGCCCTCCAGGACCACAGCTGAATACCCCTGTCAAATATTGTAGAGCAGAGCTGTGCAACACAGCTCAACCTGTAATATTCATCTGTTGACTTTATTTGATTAGATGGATACACAACCAATTAGCATATGGCAATGAAATGACCGCAGAAAACCAGCTGCACCTGGCTGCACCTGTATGGCCTGGGGGTCACCTAAAAGTAGGGACCAGACTTTTTGATCCCAAGCAGGTGTTACCTAAACTGCTGAGTCACCCTGCTCCCCATTAGTCTCAGTGCAAGATGGAAGACTTCCTGAACTCAGATCATTCTAGCATATATCCCAGCATGCTATTCTTAGCCTTGCAGGAAAGAAAAGCCAGATTGAGAATGTCACAAGCAACACAGCCTCTTATGCACGGCAACTTGCATTTTAGGTGGTTAGACACTCTGTCTCACTGTTTTTGACTCCCCTCATAGCCATAATGCAAACTGAAATGTGTCTATACTGCCTTGCATTAATCATTTTCAAAAAGAGTGAGCAGATTTGGTTTTAAATGGCCTAGAGCACTCAGTTTCTTACATAACATATACATGATCAGTGTAGTAATGAGCTATTTGTTACGCATGGTTGTCTCAACGCAGAGCAACAAAGGCTTTTATCATATGCATGTTCATGTGCAGATATACGCATCTGCCAAGTGTATATGCTTCACATAGTCTAAATAAGGCCCTGGTTTGTGCAACTTACTGACTCCATGTAATGCAAATGTGCTTGGCTCCGTGCGCTAAGCTGATTAAACAGCTATTTTTGAATCCATTGTTTGTGTAATGTCACAAAAACCAACATATTTGTACATATCCACCTATTCAACCTACAGCATTAGGCTGTAGCCCACTCACACTGAAGTTATAAGGAGCATTTCAGCCTGGACTGCCTTTTGATCGATGTCCAATACAGGGCTGCCAGTATATCCGTCTTAAAGGAACAGTAACAAAATCCCCCTGTTTAATTCTAAGTTGGAAAGAGAGGTCAAATATGATCCTAAAAATGAATTACTACTGTTTTTGGTACATAAAATGACACAAATGTTATAAGTGTACCTCAAGGGGAAAACAGAAAGAACAAATGTAGGTCATATGCCCTTTAAGTGTGAACCAAAGATTAAGCCTAAATTTACTTGACTGTACTCTGACAACGATTAATGGCTTGTTCAATAGTACTTTGGTAAGTGGTGTAATACAAGCCATTATCGCAGTGTATATTTGGCCTGGTCCCAGGAGATGCTCTGGCAGAGCAGAGAGAATGAGAGACAAGGGACCTCTAACTCCATGTGTGTGTGTGCGCATGTGATAATGAGGAACCCCTCTGCTGCTTGGTTGGAACAGCTGAGCCCAGCACAGCTCATTGGGCAGGAGCACGCCATGTGTGTCTGCATGTGTGTGTGCGTGTTTGTGATTATGTGCACTGCTGTAGGACTCCCATGAAGGCCCAGGGTTTCCCCTCCTCTCTCTCTCTCTCTCTCTCTCTCTCTCTCTCTCTCTCAGGATGAAGCTCAGGCGACCACACAAACCAAAGCCATCCTAGCACACAGTGATGCTGCTGCTGCTGCTGTAACCATTACTGAGAAGCCGTGAAGCTGAGGGAGAGATAAATCAACGTGATGCTCACTTCAACTAGCAAGGATTTCCCAGTATAATAACACTCTCTAAGGCAGAACGTGTTTTGTGATAACTGTGATATAAAGCTAACACAAATGGATGGGAATTGATGGAAGAGAATGCTTTTATTGTCACTGTGCAGCATTTTTTTAATTTGCAAGAGCCCTGCCTCCCTTAGCACAGTGGTGATTCTAGTATTTTGAGTGGGCCATAATGGGGCCCAAGTTCCTGTTCAGGAGTCAAATGAATGCCTTCAAATTCAAAGCACTGCATAATTATATCTCTTAATAAATTATAAATTATATCTCTTAAAAACTCCAGCAGCACTGCTGTAACTGATTCACTCAGACCAGCGCAACACACACTAACGCACCACCACCACATTAGTGTTACTGCAGTGCTGAGAATGATGCACCACCCAAATAGTACCTGCTCTGTGAGGGTCCATGGGGTCCTGACCACAGAAGAACAGGGTAAAAGTGGACTAACAAAGTATGCAGAGAAACAGATGGACTACAGTCTGTAATTGTAGAACTACATAGTGCACCTATATAGTAAGTGGAGCTGATAAAATGGACAACGAGCGTAGAAACAAGGAGGTGGTCATAATGTTATGCCTTGTCAGTGTACATATCACTCTAAAAAATGTAAAGTTTGCACAAGAAAATAAACCTTGGTGCCAATGTCCATCAGCTTGTTCTCGTTTACTTAACTTGTAAACAATTAGCTACAGTGGCTGACATCCTGTTGTCAGCACTACAGGAGATATTTAGTTGAGCTAACATAAGAATATTTGTTGTCTTTAGAAATAGTCAAAATCTTACAACCCAATTTCCAAAAAAGTTGGGACACTGTGAAAAATGTAAATAAAAACAGAATGCAATGATATGCAAATCATTTAAACCCTATATTTAATTGAAAATGCTTCAAAGTCAATTTTGAAACCTAGATGTTTTTTTGAAAATATATGCTCATTTTGAATTTGATGCCAGCAACACATTCCAAAAAAGTTGGGACGGGGGCAGCAAAAGGCTGGTAAAGTTGTGTAATGCTTAAAAAACACCTGGTGGTCAATAACATGATTGGGTATAAAATAAGCATCCAAGAGAGGCTAAGTCTTTCAGAAGTAAAGATGAGGAGGTGTTCACCACTCTGTGAAAGACTGCATGATCAAATAGTGCAACAATTCAAGAAAAATGTTTCTAAACATAAAATAGCAATAACTTTTGCTTTTCATCATCTACAGTACATAATGACATTAAAAGATTCAGAGAATCTGGAGAAATCTCTGTGACCTTGGCCGTGATCTTTGGGCCCTCAAGCAGCACTGCATTAAAAATGGACATGATTCTGCAGTGGAAAGCAGAAC